GGGGGTCTCTTGACCGCTCACCCTCCTCCTGCCGCCTTGGCGCCCTGCCCGCGACGGCGGGAAACCGGGACATAGACCTGGCCCGGAGCGAAGGTGAGCACGTCCACTGAGCTGAAGAGATGGGAGGGGAAAGGCTAAGACGCGCCCTGATGACGTCGAGGTGTTTACTTCCGCGCGTGCGACTGGAAGCGAGGGGAGGGGGAACTACTGGATGACGTGAGCGCGGCACGCGGGCTAAAAAGCTCTCAGGCTTGCACAGCGACCCCGACCGAGGCCCCACCCCCAGGGGGTTCCCGCCAGCTGCCACATGCTCTGCCACCCAGGCCGCTAGCCGTGCCGGACGGCGGACGGCGTTAGGTCCTGCTCCTGATTCCTCACCTGTGCGCCTCGATGCCCTGGGCAACCTGTGCTGCCACACGCCCTATGTGCGACCATTTGCTAGGAGCTGGACCCATCCTCCTAAAGGTGCCCTGCAACTCATTCTCACCTTTCTGGACCTACAATAACCAGTTCAGGGCACACAGCTACTGAGTCACTGAGCCCAACTATTAGTGCTGTAGTTTACAAAGGGTAGGGCCCTAGGGCTGTTCCCCTCAGTGGACCCTACATTTTAAATGTTTTCCCCTTCCACAAACTAGTCAGTAAAGCCATAGAAGACCTGGAAGGTTAGAATACCGATGTTTAGGGGCTGGCAGGTGGTGTGGTGTTAAGGCGCTGGACTCCCATGTGATCACTAAGATGTGATCACTAAAGTTTGAGTCCTGGTCTGGGTCCTGGAGGCTTGTTTTCTCACTTTCTCTCTCTTATTCTGTCTCTCTCTGGTCAAAATTAAAAATAATAGGGAACCAGCAGTTAGGGTAATAGCTATGTCGCTGGACTCCCACGTGTACGACTGCGGTTCGCGTCCCAGACCCGATGGCTTAAAACACGCTGGGTACGTGTGCGTGCATGCCCAAGATCCCGAGAGGAGAATGGAGAAGGGACTGCGGCGTGACCATCCCCCCTGGGGGGTGATTTCTCTCTTTCTGGCTCTCTGTCTCTGTCTAGCGAGCGCACGCGCCCTATAGCAAAAACCTCTCCAAAAAAAAAAAAATTTAAATAATAAGTAATTCTTTTTAAAAAAAATTAGTGCAGAAATTCAAAGTGGGCAATCGATATTTGCTGAATTTACTGGATAGATGAATGAATAATTGATTTCTTTAGAAATTAAGGTCACCTTTCATGATGTATGCATTTCTTGGAAACCACAATTGCTAAAAGTTCAACATATATACAACATCTGAGGAGGGATGATGTTTTCAGAAAAGGTACTTCATGGGGGCAAGGTACTTCTTTCTGTTACAGAGACTACCAATTTTGTAAATAATGTTAACTGTAACAAGATCAATGCAATATGTAAAAGATTGGGGACTTTTCAACTATTCATGCTGTTAATCAAAATTAACCAGCACTTGGGCCCAGCAGATGGCATAGTGTTTACATTACTGGACTCCTATATGGCTGACCACAGTTTGAGTACCAGACCTGTTGGCTTGAAAAATCACACTTGGGTGTGCATGTGCGTGCGTGCGTGTGTGTGTGTATGTGGAGAATGAAGGCGAAGGGATTGTGCGGTGGCCATCCCTCCGGGGGTTGATTTATTACTTTCCCTCTCACTATCTCTGTCTCTGTCTCCAGCGACCATACACACCCTAAGGCAAAAATCTCTCTCTTAAAGAAATGACTTAACCAGTACTTACTACCAAAGGAGACAAAGATGTCACTGAACCATTAACTAAAGGCTTCTACTTTCTGACTCTGCTTCAGAAGATGGTATAAGGTTTTTGGACTCCAGGATTTTTGTGTGCTCATTTAAAATATATTTATATCAACTCCGTTTAAATGGAATTGACCAACAACTCCTTAAAAGCAAGCTTATCATATTTTGACTGAAACTAAGGTGAGGTACAACTTTCTAACAACTATAGATCTTCCAACCAGGTACAGTAGGAATAGATCTGATATTAGGAAAACATCCTAGAATTCTCCAATCCACTACAGATATCTCTCAATCATCTAGATGTGTCAGAAATAAAAAATACTACAAATCAGAAAAGCAAGCAAACATAAGCAAAAGCACACTTATAGAAGAGGGGAAGTGTTGATGACCTCAGCATTTTAGTATCAGGTAGCTATATCAGTGACATAATAAAGCCACTTTCTTTTTCAAATGAGCAAAATCCTTTTGGACCAATGAAGGTTACAACTTAACTGAGTACTCACACAAAGCACATATTATGCATGCCCAAAATCTTAAGAATGGAGGAGAAAGGATTGCGGTATGGCCATCCCCTGGGGGCGGGGTTGGGGAGGTGATTTCTCGCTTTCTATCTCTCTGTCTCTCTGTGGTGAGCACATGTGCCCTATAGTAAACATCTCTCTCTAATGAGATTTGAGTACTTAGTAGTCAAATATTCAATATAATTTATGTCCCTTACTCCTCACAAAAATTTATTATTGTCCCTAACTTTCACTTTAGACTCAAATCTGAGAAACTCTTCCATGTTGACAAAGAAAAAGGCCAGCAGAATCAGAATTAAAAGTCACACTATACTATAATGGGAGATGGAATTATCTAGGTCCTGGCATCTAAAAGGTATTTTCTTCCAATGTTTTTAACTCTTTCAGAACTGACTCCATTCTTATATGAGAACCACTGAATGATAGTATTAAGATAAAACTTGTAAACTAAGACTGAAGAAAAATAATTTGAATGCTATTTAACATTGCTCATTTTACAACCAAGGACATTTAAAACATGTTACCATTAATAACTGTGTGCTTAGGGGCTTTTCCAAATAGAAAGATCAACCATTATTTCCTGCCCAGTGAGTTTACAAATTACAATGGCAAACGGCACAAAGACAGAGCAAAAATAGAAAATACATGGGTTGGATCTGAGAAGAAAGGAGAGTGTCTCCAATAACATATAATCTATTTCTTGTTATCTTTGTGTCACAAGAAAAACCTGAAAGAAATTATATTTAGAGAAGTGTGAGAAGTATAAATTGCACCTGCTGCTGTTGCTTCATAATCAGTCATTCAAAGTGTTCTTGAAGCCAAGAAATCTGTTTCTGAGCATCCAAAAGAGACAAGAGGTTCAATATTAAAGATTTACAAAAATGGAATTGAATTTTTAAGACATCTTCAGGAAAGATAGGAAAGTATAGGATTGCTGTTGTAGTGAATAAAAAGAGTAACTGGAGCAGAAAGAAAACTTTTTAAAGATACTATTAATACCATAACAATCAGAAAGTCAAAACCAATAGACAAGGGCCCAGATGGTGGTGCAGGAGTAAAACACTCTGTGAGGCCTACCTTTGTGGGCAAATTCTGCACTCATTATCTCTCACTCTCTCTTACTCATGGAAAAAACAAATAATTTTTTTAAAGAGGACAATGCTAGACAAATGAGGATATGTACAAACCTAATAATAACTGAATCTAAGAGCTCATACCAAAAAAAGTGGTCAATGGTATCAAAGTAGATGGAATTTTTTAAAAATAATTATTTATTTAGTTTTATTTATTATTATTATTATCATTACTTTTTAATGTGATCAGAGAGAGAGAGAGAGGGAAAGTGAGAAAGCAAGCTGCCACGTCTGGAATTCAAACCACGGTAGGCCATGTGGGAATTAAGCACCTTAACCACCATGCCACCTACTGGCCCCAGTACATGGATTTTTAAAAACTCAATAATTTGACCAAAACGAGTTGTTTTGGTAAAGAGAAGCAGACAGAAATCAGATTGTAAGTGGAGAAGAGAATTAGCTAGCAAACTGGAAATGTACTTCATGCATACAGAAAAAGCTGGTTAGAATCAACTAAGATAAATGGAAGAGAGAGAAAAAAAAATAGCTGGAAAAAGATGCCACTGCTACAATGCATCTGTGATGATTAAGAATAGACTAGATCAATGAAATTACTGGGGTACAATTAAAATATGCACTTAGAGAGTTGAAACAGAAGTAATGATGAGGGAAAAATATACCAAGCTCAAGTTTTGAGAATGAATGGAGGACTAGAAGAGATAGAACAAACTTTTTAGTCAAGATTGGTATTACAAATTTGCATTTGTGGGGGTTGGCAGATGGCGTGGTGGTTAAGGGCCCAGCGTGAATTTAAGCCACTAGGTCCGGGACTAGAACCGCGGTAGACTACAGGGGAGTCCAACGACATAGCCGTTACGCCAATTTGCTGGTCCCGAGATTACATCTAATCAAGGGGATAAAATATTTAGAGGAGGAAAAACTAGATGGTGTGATCAGGGAAGGCTGCTTGGAGTTAGTGGCATTTGAACTAAGCATCGAAAGTTGGGATGAGTCTAGTAAATGGTA